CTTTCTTTCTTTCTTTCTTTCTTTCTTTCTTTCTTTCTTTCTTTCTTTTTTCAACTTTCTTCTGTCTCCAAAGGAACTGAAATTGTAGAGAACCGCATCAAGCGAGTCTTGCTTGGTCACCAAACTTTTATAGAGATGCTAATTAATGGTCAACCATGAATGCTATGGTATTCCTACAGAAAACTGGCCAGCCTAACACCTCACACTTGTGCCTGAGCACCTACAGACTGTTGGAACTAGGAAGGACCAGAAATGAATGAAGTATTGTGTAAAACAACAGATTCCCCAAAAGCTTGCCTGGATCTACACCCCCAGCAGAGGCAAATGGGTGGGGCTTGGAAGAGAGGCATCATCACCTCCCAGGGAGGTGTGCAGCAAAAATGGGGGAGAACACCAGCTTGCAGGGATCCTTCGGATCACCCTTGCTGAAAAGCTTCAAGAAGCAAAAGGTGGTGAGGAAGTAAGTCACATCAGCCATGATGGGAAAGTGATGAGCGGATGCAAGAACTGAACCTCCAGTTGAGGTTGGCGGGATCCAGGAAATGTCTGTCAGGAGATCATCCTCTCCCCACATAGTGGCTTCAGGCCCCAGTGGGAGGCAGCCATCGGGGGGGGGGAGAAGAGGGAGCCCGCTCCAAAGTGTGCCAAAGCCAGGAAGACTGTGGCTACTCAAGTCCCCTGGGATAAAGGAGGGAAGAAAAAACCCCATATCTGCTGGAGTCAGTCAAGAGAAAAAGAATTAGTCTGTTGGAAGCAGGGAGTCGGCGGTGACCTGTTGCTGCAAGCAGTCATGTTTGTTCTCAGTTTGCTTTTACCTGTCCAGAAGCGTAAGTAAATGAAATGGTTTTGTTTATTTATTTTTATCCTAAGAATGTCTCACACTGAATTATTGAGACTGTAAGTGCTAGTTGGTGAAAAAAAGGGGGGAGGGTTTGACTAATCTGGGGAAATGGAAGCTAATTCTGCTCTGGGGAACCCTGTACTTCCCCTGTGCCACTAGAAGAATTTAACCAACATTCAAAACACTGCCACAGATTCTCCAGGACCGTTGAAGTGTTAGCAAAGCGAGGCAGCCCTGTAGCAGAGACAGACTCCGCAAGCAGAAGACTCGGCTAGCAGTCTGGATCACCAGGACCAGTCAAGAAATAATGGAAGTTTGGGGTCCAGGGAGGGAACCTTGGGCCCTGGTATATTGGGGCCAGGTGCTCTGGCCATGAGCTGCTGAAGGTTCGAAGATGGAGAGCCCACGCATACCAAAAAGAGGGTCCAAGCTGTGCCCACAAATGGCATAATCTCGATTTCTGCAGGCAATTATATGGGTTTATTCGGCTTGTTTTATCCCACATTGAAGCGGGTGCAGCTCACGGACAGAGGGCTTTGGGAGGCCGAAGGCTCCGGTCTCATTTCTAGGCAGCCTCTCCCAGGCGAGGCTGGGAAAGAGCCCCTCTAAAGCAAGGACTGCCCATCCATGTTGATCATCCTGGACTGGAGCATCTAAGAAGGAGACACGGCCGGTGGCTCTACTTCCTCTGCCACTTTCTGGAGGTCTTGAATTGAGCCCTTGTCCCCTCTGACATGTGGCCACAGGGCTGGCGATGAGAAGGAGACCGGTACTCTGAAACGCCTGGAGGAAGGACCAGGTGGTCCACCCCCCAGCAGTAAAGCTCCCAACGTATTTGGCTGGACCAAGGGTCCTTCTCAGGCAGAGGTCCGGCTGCCCTTTGGAGGACACTGCCGCCCATCCTGGTCACAGGGAGCTGGCTGGCCGTCATCATGATTAAAAGTAACTTTTCCTTCCCAGCTTTCAGGTCTGTGGAAGTACCAGCAAATGCATCACGTTGTCCTCTAGCAGGCCCTGGGCTGGCATCGCCTTCGTATCACAGTGTTTTCAGCTGAGCTTCAGCCTGAAGGATCCACCAGAGGAAAAATAATGAGCAAGAGTTCCTCTATGCGGAGATGGGGCGCCAGAGTGAAAGAAAACGACAATGCTCTGATTAAGCTTAGCAAGAGACACTCAAAGGCCTGTTTGCACAGACATCTTGACAATGAGCAGGAGGCTTAATTAACGAGAGTGTCTGCCAACATACGTCTTGTGTCTAGGCTGCTGTATGAGCCATGGTGGTGTAGTACAGGGCTGGGATTCAGGTGACCTGGGTTCAAATCCCTGCTCAGGCACAGAAACTCACTCCAGCTGGAACTGGTAGCAAACCACTCCTTAAAGATCTCTCCTCCCTTAGAAACCCTGATAGGGTCACCATAAATGTGATGCAGCTTGATGGCAAAGAACATATAGGCTTGTTCTTTTAGGTTTTTCAGGTTGTTTGGTCCTGTTCTGGAGGTTTTTCTTCCTAACATTTTGCTAATCTCTGTGGCCAGTGTCTTCAGAGGACAGGAGTTCTAACTCGGTCTGTGTTCTGGTGTAGTGTGTGGGATAGCTGAGTATTTGTAGCCATAGGATCAGCTTTTTGTCCTTTTCAGGTGGTTGGGTGATTATGGTGATCAGGATGAGTCGAACTCTACCAAGCCAGAAGGAGGGGTGATCACTGCACACAAAAGACTAGCTATCGATACTCATCAATCACAGTGACAGATCATCTCCCCCCTTATCACAACAATACACCCACAACAAAAAACATTCTGATCACCATAATCACCCAACCACCTGAAAAGGACAAAAAGCTGATCCTATGGCTACAAATACTCAGCTATCCCACACACTACACCAGAACACAGACCGAGTTAGAACTCCTGTCCTCTGAAGATGCCAGCCACAGAGATGGGCAAAACGTTAGGAAGAAAAACCTCCAGAACACGGCCAAACAGCCCAAAAAACCCACAACAACCATCGGATCCCAGCCAAGAAAGCCTTCATGAAAACATACAAGCTGTTATGATTTGTCTTTGGCAAGACAACAGAGCAATCTCTTTGGAAAGTGCTACGGAAGAAACGTGGAACTCCAAGACGATGATCCATGAGCCACTTGAGGGCCGCCATCCCTATGTATCTACTCAGATGTAACCTGCGTTTCAGATGTAACCCGTTTCTTTCAGAAGGGGTCTTTCACAGGACTGAAGCCAACAGCACTCATTCGTTTCCAGTCCACTTGCTCAGCTTTTGTAAACTGAAGTCTGTGGCTTCCTTTTTGGAAACCCATCCACCTCATTCTTATTCAAGGAGACTTTCTCCAAACACACACACACGCACCCAAAAAAGGGCCCTCAGACGCCTCATCTCCTTACCGCTGTATTTGATGACACGGATGGTTGAATCCCCGTCACCGAATATGGTGACCGGCGTCAGGCGGACCTCGTACGCCTCTGGCTTGATCAGTTCTGTCAAGTTGTAGGTGATCAATTCTCCCTTCTGGATCTTCCCGTTCACCGCGATTTCCTGCTCCCACCAGCGCTGCTGTCCAGCCTAGAAGTGGAAAGAGGGGGGCTGAGGTTGTAACACAACGTAAACCATGGTGCAAATCTGGAGGAAACACACCAACCCCACACACCCCCGGGAGCAAGGGAGGGGCGGCTGTTCCTTGTGGATCTCAGCAGGACCCACCTGAGCAACAAGAAGAGGAGGCACAAGATTGTCCTCGAGTCATTTACTGAAGCCTGTCAGCAGCATAAAGTCAACCAATCAACTCAAATAACAGGAGCGTCCAAGAGGTCTCTGTTTGAAACCTCCAGGACGTTTTGGTCCTTCCAAAATGAGAAGACCTCAGAAGGTCACTCCTAGCTTTGGAAAAAAAGGGGGGGGCATAGGGCTGGGAAATGGAGACCCAACTGGATGCGTCCCAGGCCTCTGGTGACCTGGAAGGTCATTCTTAGAGACTTTTGTTTTTCAAGTGGAGTGTTGAGTAGTACACAGGAGGGCTTCGGAGTTCACACCCAGCATGCGTTCATCAAACGAAATGCAGCCCATCAGCTACACTTTGCCGACACTTGGGGCTAAGCAGAGGCACAATTGAACCCATTTATTCTTTGTTTGTCTGTTTCATTGATATGCTTTCTTTCTCCAAGCAAGAGGACCCTAAAGGTGGCTCATACTATTAAAAGGTATAGGATTGAAAACAAAAGTTAAACATTTTAAAAAAAAACAATAAAATGAGAAGCTAATTAAAAAAATACAGTTGAATAATTAAGAGCAAGTAAACACTGAAAACTATCTTTAAGAAGGCATTGGGGGGGGGAGGTTTCAGTTGTGATGGTTAAAAGCCTGCCTGAAGAGAGAGGTCTCCAGCTGTGGGTAGAAGGATAAAAGGGAGGGGGGTCGCCTCCCATGTCCTGGGACCGAGAAGGCCTGGTCTCTCGTGTCCCCATCAATTGTGTCTGCAATGGCTGTGGGACCAAGAGAAGGGGCTCCTCGGAGGATCTTAAATGCCAAGAAGGCTCATATGGGGAGATGTGGTCCTTCAGATAGCCTGGACCACAGCATTACAGGCCTTTTATAGATCACAACAAGCACTTTTGAATCGGGCCTGGAAACGGGCAGGGAGCCCCACTGGGTCCCTCCCAGGGGATTCGGAACGGTGGGGCTGAAACTCAATTAAAAGATGAACTTTAAATAAAATACACAAGTCCCTGCCAGAGCCTATTAGGAGCCACAACCTCCTGGGAACAACATTAATGAGAGCGGCACAAAAATAAATTCTCCAACACCCTTTTCGTTCCCTTTCCAGCTTTATTAATTAAAGCGGATGGTCCCTTCCTCCCACACGCCTGCCCTCCCTCACACACGGTGCCTGCCATTTTCCTAAAGAAAAGAAAAGGGGTCAACGATCCGCTTTGGGCTGAGTCTTCCCCGGTGACTGGATTCCCCCCCCCCAACCTGCAATATTCTTCCCGCCGCTTGTCTCATGGAGGAGGCGAGAAAGCTTGATTCGGTCTACCAACATTTGTTTCAGCGCTACTAGAAAGGAAGGAGGGGCAAAACGCCCCACGTTTATAGTTCTTCTCACGGGTACCCGTCTGAAGCAGTAATGGGCGGTAATGAAAAGTTCTTTTTGACTTATCGTCTGTGGCATGAACAGTGGCATAATTCCTTGTTGCAACTGCCCAGAACAGAAGAACTGGACGTATTTATGAAAAGCCAGCCAGCAAGGAAACAAAAAACTCCACTGAGTATGCCTTTTCCCCATGAATTTTAGTTTGCAACCCCACTCTGGTCCAGAAGTCCCTAAGGACACCAGTCCATCCACTTGTAATCTTGAGGATAGACTGTTGCAACTCTCTCTACATGGAGCAGCCCTTGACGGCAGTTCAGACGCTGCAGCAAGAGGAAAATGTAGCTGCCGGGCAGCTACCGGGCACATCACAGTCTGACCGTAGACCGCCCGTCCCGGCACGCCTGCAAGGGCTGCCTGTCTGTTTCTGGGCCACGTTCAAGGTGCTTCTGCAAACCTTGAAAGCCCTCAATGGTTTAGGACCTTGTTCGTGCCGGTCTGAGCGCAGCTCCCTCAAAACGTCTACCTGTCCCGCTCGCACCTCATCTAATGGGATGGCGCTACAGGTGGTGACCCCGAGGGAGGACCGGACATTGGCCCCCCCCGAAACCCGGCCTTCTCTGTGGCGGCCCCACGGCTCTGGAATTCCCTCCCCTCTCAGGTGCAATGAGCCACATCCCTCCCTGGTCTTAGGAGACAGATTAAAACCTGCCTGTTTTCACCCGACTTTTATGGCCTCATAACATGGCGTCAAGTAAATGTTTTTGTCTTTTTTCTCGTAGGCCTCTGAAATTGCTGTTGTCTGCTGCCCTGGATCACCATATTTTGTATTTACTATGCATAATTTTTTTCTTAGAGTCATTAAGTATTAGAGATCCTAAATTTAGAGGGTTTTTTTTGCTGTTATGTTACTTGTTCAACGTCCAGAACAGTGGCCTATTAAAAAACCAAAACCCCCAAAATGTGGTCTATAGGCTGCATGCACATCCAAAGGGCCACTTAGCACCCCCCCACACACACACTTGCATACCACTGCAACACCACATTTTAAGATGTGTATGTGTGTGTGTGTGTGTGTGTGTGTGTGTAGGCTCAGAATGACCTCTTGGGGCCTTTAGCAGCATGGACACACTTTTACCATCTTCTGAAGGCCACATCATTCCTTGATGTTCCCATGTCACCACTTTTAAATTTTTTATTAAATTAAATTAAATTAATTAATTGCCACTAGTAGAGTTGTTTCAGCTACTATTTTATGGGAAATCTCTAAAATGATTATTACTGCTCTATACAACTACCACTTCCAGCCGCCTGAAGCCTTCAAGCTACCCAGAAAACCCCTATTCATGTGTTTGGTCCCAGGAATACCAGAAGAAGCCAAAACAAGCGGTAGAGCTTGTAAACTCGATCAACAAGTATAAAAGGCTCCTTCCGAACAAACTGCCAGGTGGACACTCCCAGTGACATAAAGTGATTCAGAAAGTACTTGATTACTTAACAAGAGATAATATTCTTCGCAGCTGTCATGCAGAGATCAAACGGCAATGTTTATTTTTAAAGCTCGAACAAGATCGTAAAAAGCAAAGTGTGCTGAATATATAGCGCCACCCTCTAGAACTTAAAGCACTCTCTGGGCACTTTGAGATTTAATGATACAGGATGAAGGCTAAACATGACTCTCCCCCCAATCGAGCTGGGTACTCGTTTTGCTAGCCTTGGAAGGACAGAAATGTGGAGTGAACCTTCGTCTGGCTATGTCAGCCTGCCAGGATTGAACGAATGGCGTTCGCGAGCAGAGTCTTCACTGCAGTACTGCAGTTTAGCACCACACAGGAGGAAGTAAGACTCCAATCAGGGTTTGCCTAAGGTTTGTTTAATTCGTCACAGCTAGTCTTGATTGTAGCTCACCTTAAGGTGCTGTGGCATGTCTTGGTTTCACACTCGTGTGGAGCTATACAAACAGGAGGTGCCCCCCAGCCCCTGAGCAATTAGCCACCGCAAGTTGTGCAAACGCCACTAGGATCCTGGCCCCGCATCTCATTCTTCCTGCATTTCTCCAAAGGACCTTGGCCTTCTTGACGCAGCCCCTCGTATCTACAGGGCTTCCCCCCCCCCTTTTCCTTCCTGTATGGGTAATTTGTACAAATGTTCGGAAATGTTTCTCCCTCCACGTCTATATTTTTCAATTCATTTTCCCGCCAAGGAAATGAAGTTTGTGTAGTTTCTTGTGTTTTGTGCATCCTTGTTTCTTGGAAACTTACATTGCTGTGTTGTGCTTTGATGGTCGGAGGCAAACTTTACTTGGAGTATTTGTTGTTGAGGATCTAAACAGCAATGGGAGTGTTGTTCCTTCTTTCATGATACTAAACGCCTGGTTTGTCTTCAGCTCCTGTAAGAAGACACTTGTCTATTTTACTTGTCTGTTGCCTCCATTGAAACGGCGGCTTCCTATTTTTGACCCACTGCAGAGAAACAGAAGGCAACTTTTTAATCTACAGCAACCGTGCTGGAGAGCTGAAGTTTTTCTTGGCTTGAAAAGTTTGGAAAGATCCACATAAACCTTTGTTGTTGTTGTTGTTGTTGTTGTTGTTGTTGTTGTTGTCGTCGTCGTCGTCGTCGTCGTCGTCGTTGTCGTTGTCGTCATTCTGTGCTGTCAAGTTGCCCCTCGCTCGTGGTGGCCCTATGAAGGAGGGAACTCCAACATGTTCTGTCTTCCACTGCGTGGCTCAGCTCTTGCCGACTCAACCCCGTGGCTTCCTTTTTAGGGAGTCAATCCACCTTGTATCGGGCCTTCCTCTTTTCCTGCTGCCTTCAACTTTTCCCAACACAATTGTCTTTCCCAGAAGATTCCGCCTTCTCAGGATGGGCCCAAAGTATGACAGCCTTAGTTTCAACATTTTTGCTTCTAGAGATCGTTCAGGCTTGATTTGATCTAGGACCCCCTTGTTGGTTTTTGTGGCACTTAAGGGTATCCTACTGAATATGTTTCACTTCCTTAGTGTCTGGGTAAGGAAGTGACACACTCTCCTTCATTGGAGCTGTTTATATCGAAGTGGGCTGGCCATCTGGCAGGAATGCTCTAGCTGGGGATTCTTGCATTCAGATGGGGTTGGACTAGATGACCATCAGGGTCCCTTTACAACTCTTATCTGTCTGATTCAGTAGCTGGTATCCAGCTTGACTCTTTCTCCCTCTCTCAATTTGTCCATGTGTGTGTGAATGGTCCATTCTGTACCCCAATCTATTCCCCCTCCTTCCAGTAGGTAGCAAGCAGGATACTGGGTATATTAGAATCCTAGAATCAAGGAGTTGGAAGGGGGTCTTTAAAACCATCGAGTCCAATCCCCTTCTCAATGCAGGAATCCAAATCAAATCAGATCTGACAGAAGGCTGTCTAAGTTTCTCTTGAAGGCCTCCAGCATTGGAGCGCCCAGCAGCTTCTCTCAAAGTCATTGTGTTCCATTGTTGTACTGCTCTA